CTCAGCCAGTATTTATACCGCCCATAATCAGGGCTATAAAGGTAGCGCGCTGAGTGCCAGTCAGTTCAGTTCAGTTCAGTCAGTTCCTCTCCACAGTCAGCTCCTCTTCTCAGCTCAGCTCTTCACAGTTTCTCCTTGCAGTTTAGCTGCTTTCGCAGCTCCACACTTCTACCCGAACACTACGAGCACACAGAAATGAGAACGAACACGATGTGCCTACACAAGAGACGAGACACAAGACACTGCGGACCCGCTATCGCCTGAGAGAAGAGACCACACATAGTGGACAAACACAACTTAACTTGCACTTGACACGAATATACTAGTAGCTTAACCTCATATGTTTATGCTTGTAGTTTTAATGATTGTAGTCACGTTGTATGCGCTATGTATCGTTAATCAAATAAACCATCTACCTCCACCTTGAACCACTCAAAACCTCATTTGCAACAGCTGATGCAGCTTCAAAACACCCGGCGTCCAAATCTGCGACCCGTCTCAAGCCAGCCGGGCCAGTCTACTATGCAGATAATTCGACATTCGTTCACATTCCCACATTTCCTCACAGTGCGTTTTGCTCCTATTTTGGCGTTCTCGTACCGATCTCTACTTACCTTTTTTGCAGTTTCAGCCAGTACTACATTCTTTTGCGATTCCATGGAACGCCCTTGTTCGCCTCTGTCTCTCTACCATAATTCGTTGGATGCCACCCTTTTCCTACAAAATATGCACAACTTCTCGTCGCACTCACCTCTCAGTTAATTACATTAATGCGGTTTCTGAACCTTTGTCATCAGTGTCGCTGCTTCCAATCAAACTTCATTGAAAGGTTGAAGGGTCGAATTTCAAGGAAAGTTCGCCACCATCTTCTCCCATCATACTAAAAAGCTTCATTTCGCGAACCGCACGCACCATAACATCGCTCGTCATCGTTTCAGTTCAGTCTTGTTGTATGTATACTATAATTACATCGTAGCATCTGCATTCTATTATGTCAATAGGACCCTTCGTAGAGGAAGTATAGGCTCCTCAGTGGCATTAACTTTGAACAGCGAAAAGGTGCTTGAGAGCTTAGGTGACTTATTGAACCGGTCTACCTTTTTTGGAAACTCTAAAATGTTTCACGAGGGAGACAGTTCGTTATCGCGATCACGAAGTCTATGATCCTCTTTCCTGTCCATTCTCTTCGAGCTATCCACTAGAAACTGTAGCCATTCTCTAGAATGCTGTATCTGACGCGTTCCAACGTTATTCCCTAAAAAGAGGTTGTATAAAATGACGCGGCTTGGAGCGCTGCAGTGACAACCTTTTCCACCAATTGACACCATCTGCAAAGGTAATAGTTGGCGAAAAGGCCGCGATGGGTGGGTCGAAGCCACGCCCTCTCCATACTGCCCTCCCGTTTACAGTGATTATGACTGTATCGGTGCTGACAAAGCCTCTTCTCGGCTAACTATGAATAATCTAAAATGGATACTAAAATGTTTTAGTGTAAAGCGGTGTTCCGAACACTAATCATTTCCAGTGACTACATTCTCGTGAAGAAAGCTCTTTCCAGTGCTTTTTCGTGTCTTTGGTGGGTATTCGCTGCTCTGCACGTCATGTTGTTTGGACAACATGATGGCTGACGTGATTACAGTTTTCTCGAAGTGTGACGGAAAGGAGAAGGACAGTAGGTGAAAAAAGTCTGATTTCATCGGTAGGATAGTACGACCATGAAAACATACGCTAAAGGCGCTGCCTAAAAACCCGACTGTCTTCATTGTGGGAGAAAAACGACAATAAGCAAAAACTTCCAAAATTTACTTACATCACACGATCACCTGAAGACTCGGCCCTTTCCTCGCATGGAGGGCGCGCGTCTATAGTCGACTGAAGCCTGCCTCTTTCGCCATGCGAAATGATTTGGCAGTGACGTAGGTGGAGAGAGACGTAGTACGGTTCCAGCTCTAGCACGTGGTTTCGGTTTGTGGGATTCTTATGGGGCTCGGATTCTGCGCCTTTCCTGTCGACTGTGGTGTGCTACACTGCTACAACAGGCTGGCTAAAAAGTATGAGTGCTTATGAAATTTTGGGCAGATTTGTTTGACTAATTTTGTACTGGATATACTATGAGGTTTAAATAAAGAACCATACAAAAAGATTCGAATTATGCGCTGGCTTTAAATAAAGAACCATACAAGAAACATTCGAATTATGCGCTGGCATAGGATGTCAAACGTGAGGAGAGTGAGCGATACTGCCGTTCCACAGGTAGTTTATTTCCAAATCTGTCTAGACATAGATCTGTTCCTATCAGTGAGTGTCCAAAATGTTGATCTTCCTGGACGCCAGTTTCTCTTCTATGTAATCTCACATAGCAAAACGAGCACGATACAGACGATTGGGCTATAGCGTGGCGTGGATCGGAGAGCTGCCAGGGCACTCCTACTACCAATGATGACATCCTGGCTGCTATCCTGGGCGAGGCTATGCTGGCGCGTTGCAGCTCACACTCCTTCACTCACTATATAGTCTGCAGGGATCACGACTATATCTGGAGTCGAAGAATCCTGCACCGAGGCATGAACGTCGCAATCGGGTCGAGACCTCCCATTGCCAGTTTCATCGTTTCTGGTGAAACACTGTTTTTGCCAGCCATTACGAACTACGAACACGACTACGAACAGATCGGAATTACACTTTCCCTCCTGCCCTGTCAACTATCATCGGCCATTTGTCGAACATTATCAGAAAATTAATTACTGTTTTGCACTAATGGAACCTCGAAGACACTTCAATGTTCTATCAACCACTGCATTCTCTTTCTAATTTCAGAGAGCTGCCTTCTTTCCGCATAATATTGGGTAGGTAGAGACATTTTGTGTCATCCCGAACGACATTTTACGTTGCATAATCCTTTGATGAGCGATACCTCAACTCGATACACCGCTGTTTTTCCTGAAATCTGGATGGAATCGAATCACCGTCATCAAAGATCCCGTTATCCGAAAATCAAAGTGAAATATAAAAGGAATATGCGTAGCTCATTGAACATCTTCACCACAGCGCTAAGAAATCAGAAATTTTAAACTCTACCAAGAAGCGTCTAGCTTTTGGATAACCTGCTGTTCTTGTCAACAAGGGGAACCACAAGTCGAAAATAAGGCTGCGTTTATACTTTGCGGCAGCGTAGCGTAGCGCGCAGCGTAGCGTAGCGCTTCCAGCGTACGCCAGCGGCAGTGCCGAAGAGAGGATGCATATCGATCTAGCTTCACCAGCGTCACGCAGCGTACGCTAGCGTACGCCAGCGTTTCACCAGCGTTTTGCTAGCGTTTGCAGCGGCAGGGGAGTAGAGACTATGGGAGAGCTGGAGGGTACAAAACACATCGATTGCGCGTCTCTCACTCGCCCTCAGTCTCTACAATACATCGATTCGCGTCTCTGACGGCCACATAGTCTCTACAATACACATCGATTCCGCGTCTCTGACGGCCACATAGTCTCTACAATACACGTCGATTCCGCGTCTCTTACGGCCACATAGTCTCTACTCCCCTGCCGCTGCAAACGCTAGCAAAACGCTGGTGAAACGCTGGAGAAACGCTGGCGTAACGCTAGCGTACGCTAGCGTGACGCTGGAACGCTAGATCGATATGCATCCTCTCCCCAGCACTGCCGCTGGCGTACGCTGGAAGCGCTACGCTACGCTGCCGCAAAGTATAAACGCAGCCTAACTGCCAGCTGATTCTGCGTCGCTAATATGCAGAGAAGCGATGGAGGAAGACCTTGAGGAGGGAAGAGTAGCAGCTGCGTTCAAAGCATACCGAAGGGCGATATACAATGTCATGCACGATATCCTACCTCTATGACAGCTTCAGCACTCTACGGCTCATTGGATCAAGGCAGCACTGGTAGCAGAGTGTGCACTCATGCTGAGCTGTAAACAGTGCTCCGCTTACATTCGAGATTCGGTCAGCTTACAAACGAAACTTTGAATCGAACGTCATTACTTTTCTTTCAGCCTCTATAATTTTCGAAATAGCCTGCTGTACCGACTTAACAGTGGGCTCGTAGGAACTGCTTCCAATCAAAGACCACAGCCTGTCCCAATCCAAATTCGAGATTCGGTCAGCTTACAAGGAAACCTTGAATCGAACGTCATTACTTTTCTTTCAGCCTCTATAATTTTCGAAATAGCCTGCTGTACCGACTTAACAGTGGGCTTGTAGGAACTGCTTCCAATCAAAGACCACAGCCTGTCCCAATCCAAAGCGCAAAGTTTGCCTGTATAAGGTTGATCTTTCATGTCCAAGTCATTTTAGCAAAAGCGTACAAACCGTTTTGACCACATCATGGAAAGCAGCATAAGGACCAAACCTTAAGAAAATTTTATTATGTGTGAATTCGCCCACACTGTAAGCCAGGATCCGTGTAATTGACCATACTAATTTATTGCTTTTCGTCCATCGTTTCCAATGAGGAAATGGAGGCACCAGAGTTCGAGAAATTAAATTTTGCTCTCATTACGTGCAAACTGCAAATACCAACTTCCAGTGGACTCTTATACCATAAGAAAAACCTGTGCAACATCAAAGAAATCCTTCATTTTTTTGAGAACTCTTATTACCTATTAATGTCGGATGAATAAAAAGCGCGGGATGGTTACAAAGGTGATTACAGTTCCAGTACTAAGATCTCAAACTTCATTTGAGGTCGTTCTCGACCACAGCACGAAAGAAAACCTATTATCTTCCTTGAATCGCAAGGAAGAGTGTGTGGTCATAACGCGTGAACTCGCAGCCTTTCTCGACCTCTGCAAGTTTTGACCTACCGAGAGGTCGAGGGAGGTTACTAGTAATTCTTACTCCACGCTTGAGCCTCTACAGGGTGGTCGTCCCCGCGTCACGCGTCCAAGATCAAGGTAAGCCAGAGTTCCGCCTTAGATCGATACCGTTGGGTGATTTACTGGTATATGGAAATCGTCTTGAGTATTGTTGAAATGTTTGAGCGAGCAGGTCTCGAAATGTTTTTTGACCATTTCAGGCTCTGACGAAGGCGAAGACGCCGAAACGTAGGCCTTCAATAAAGTTGCTCAATCTTGGAAAGGCTAGAAGAAATATAAGAACTATATACATCATGCCAAGATTGCAAGAAAGTCGAACATGGACTATTATCTTCCTGTTTTCGCTTTTTTTGCGAGTGCACAAAAAATTTGTTCATTTGCCCTTCCCACCGACTTTGCGACCCATCTCGTACTTCTCGGAGCGTCTCTTGGTCTATCGTGGTGTTTACGCCTTCACTGGGATGCCACTGTAATCCGACCTTTTGGTATTACTCATTCACACAATAGCAGTGAGTTAAGCCCGTCAATCTGCCCAGCTTATTCGCGCTTCGCCAAGAGAGTGGTTTAAGAGGTTTGAACGTTACTTTTTTACAGCCTCGGCATAGGTTACACCTTCTTTAAAAACACAACGCATGCTCAGCTGGGATTGTTGGCACGTGTCTGAGGCTTAACGGGCCGGCTGTCTAAGCGTAGCATTTTCGTTGACTGAAGATGCCGGAGATGCCGGGGATGGGAGTCCAGGGCCGTAGGATGGCCTTATTCCCCCACAGTCCAACCAGCAACCCGCGGCGGAGGCAAGCTGCACGCCACTGCCATATACAAGTCTCATTTATCGTCATCGGCCATCCGCGCGGCATGCAGCGCTAATGACGCTGCCAATTTTTGTAGTGCGTGCTTTCGAATACGATTGCAACGTAAATGGTACTTCCTAGCTGTTTATCATATTCTGTGGAGGGAGTGATTTAGATTTCCAAGATCATTGGCCATGAATTAGACTCTCTTCATAAAGTCATGACACACACATACTATGTCCATCAAAACCGAAAATTAAAGAAAAAATGGCTAATGAACCGTGATTTTCAGCTGTATCTCGCTGAGACCCTGATCATGGTTTCCGAATATGTTTGGGTTTCAGGCACTTGATTTAAAATTCTTTATCGGACAGGAGAGTTTACGATGCGCCCGCGCCCGCAGGTAACATCTTTGGTTACTGGAGACTCGATCCTCAACTTCCTCAAAAAAGGACGCCAAAAGTGAAGAAAAGTGTGGAAGGTCCATAGATCGTCGTATTTGCCTTGTACAGGATTATCGCCTGGACCAATTTCAGATCATTTGAACAACTTTACGGGAGTTATGGCAAGGCGACGGTTGCGACGCAGACAGTCTATTTTCAAAAATTAGGGACGCTTTCACAGCAGGTCTCAGTGAAAGGAAAAAAAAACTGCGGGATGACGTAGTTCAGCCAATTTGGTCACATGAACTTACAGGTTCGGACTACGTGACCTAGACAAGCTTACTGTACCTATCAGTTGCCTCACCAAGCGAATTCAGCTTACATTCCCACGCCACGACAATTTGTGACATGACGAGTACTTCTCACTGACCGCGCTCGTAAGGAGATAGCTCGTGGTTGAGTTGGTTAGTTGCAGTTTGAATGACTTGGGTGGACTGATTGCGATGAAGAAGTGCTCAAGCGTTTTTGGATGCTGATCCTCACGTGAGAAACGATTCTGCGAACACATGGGAAGAGGTGCTCCGAGAAAAACATGCTCAGGCTTGTGCTATCTATAAGACACAAGCCGC